GGGGCTGAAACTTGGACACTTAGGGCAGTAGATCAGAAACACCTGGAAAGCTTCGAAATGTGGTGTTGGAGAAGGATGGAGAAGATCAGTTGGACCGATTATGTGAGAAATGAAGAAGTGTTAATTAGGGTCAGTGAGCAGAGGAATATCTACACGAAATAAGCAAACGGAAGGCTAATTGGATGGGTCATGTTTTAGGCAGAAACTGCCTTCTAAAAGAAGTTATTGAAGGAAAAGATAGAGGGGCGGATAGAAGTGACAAGAAGACGAGGAAGAAGACGTAATAGGATGCTGGGTGACCTTGGGGACAGAAGAGGATACGGTCATTTGAAGGAGAAAGCTCTAGATCGCATTAAGTGGAGTAATTGTTTTCGAAGAGGCTGTGGACCTGTCGTCTGAGAGATTATTGATGATGATGATGATGATGATGATGATGATGATGATGATGATGATGATGATGATTCAGAGAGAATAGGTTATACGTATATCAAATAATTTGTTCAAAGATTGGGACAATTGACACTGCTGAATTTAATATTCATGTATATACATTACATACGATCTGTTACATGTCAGCCACGGAAGTTCCAGCACGTTCAGGATTCCCTGGAGTTCGGAACTGACTATTATGTCAGCATTACGGGAAGGAGTCAAGACAGCCGGAGGGAGAGCGCTGCGTCTTGGTTAAATTTCTCAACTCCCACATGCCTCCAGTATTATCAAAATGACCTTACAAAATGTGGTGAGTACATTTACCCAGAATTATTCATAATTTACTCTCACCTCCTTCCCGCATGCATTTCAGATTAACGCCAAGAGGGTAAAAGGTAAACAATGTAAAACTATTCCTGTAACACGTGGTGTAGGCCCATAGGGGTGTGAGAGGTCGAGGCTCCCACATCTTCTAGACAATTGACTCACAATTGGCGGTAAGATGGTCAGCCTTAAGAGCCGGCCGCTCTTCACCCTCCCCCCCACGAAAAGAAATCTTCCTAGTACTCATTACTGTTAGAGGCTGAGTCGATCCCAGGGCCATGCTGTGGCTGGAAAGATTAGGTACACTGAAAAAATTCAATTACGTCATCGGGAATCGAACCCGCGACCTTACGACTTGTAGCATAGTGTCCCAACCAACTACTCTACCACCTGCCCCACAAAGTCAAGAGGGTACTGTGATTAATCAAGAATTCTCATAATAGGGGTTTTTTGTCAATTAAATATAACTTAACAATATATAGAATACTATTAATCTTATTTTCAAAATTTCCGAATTGTGTAGAACACGTGGTGCCGTAAAATATAAGAGCGCTTTCACACGCTCGAGCATTTTCCATAACAATCATTCTCTTCAGACGCTCCGCTACTATCACTCTTCCCTGATTGGTCACTTAAAACCGCTCATTAACAACTCATTACGTTGCAATTACTTCCTTCAGCTTCTCTGAGATTTCAATGAAGGAAAAGTCTTAGCCTATTATAAGTAATTTAATAAAAGAAGAAAGCAGTCTTCTGGGATGTGGCGCCGTGTAGATATTGTGGTAACCGACGTTTCGGCGACGTTTGGGAGGAACTTCGATTAACATAATATCTACAGGGCGCCACATCCCAGAAGACTGCTTTCTACATAGTCACCGCCGTGAAAACCTCAAATCTTACAATGTAATAAATGTTTTGGGGAGCGACTCCTTTTGTGGAATTTGTTACAATCCACTTTCCCACCCAAAGACGTTCATTATTCAAACAATATTTTTTTAAATTTCGATATTAAGAGAATAATAAAGGGTTATATTTTCCAATAAGAATAATAGAAAAATTACATCTAGGGTAATAAAAGAAAATTACTAAGAAGATGTTCCTTGTTTTACATTTACCATGCGCATAGGCCTACTTAACCAAGTATACCAAGCAACGCAAACATCAAGAAAATACACCCACATTCTGTTTGTCGGCTGGAAATTGGAAAATATTGGGAAAGTTTGCCCTTTCGCTTTTGCCTGTTTCTTAACGATCAGTACGGCTACAGCAAATGTGCACTGAAAATTGGCTTCCATATGAATCGATTTCTGTTTATCTTGTGTTTGAAATAGGCTTAGAAAACATTGCCGTCCGCCCCATGCTGGTTTCTTGTTCGGCTTACCCTTCGAATGACAGAGAGGGACACGTTTCTCCGAAATTTCTGTGAACTTCTCTTGGGCTATATTCTGTTATATCTCAGACGGTACTATTCTCCATAGTTACTGCTATGAGACCCGCAGATCTGCCTTCCAAAACACATTCCACCCGTGTTGGGAAGGGGAGACGGGTTTTTCAAACTTAGAATTATTGGGTTTTTTAAATTTTCTCCATCGTCCGTTATTCTAGGAAATAGAAAACACGACATTTCGGAAACTAGATCTTTTCCCATCCTCAGGTGAGGGGGGACGGCACGTACTCTGTTGGGCCCCTTAGAAAGAGTTAATTTCTTTCTAAGGGGCCCAACTGACTAGGCGTCTCCCCCCCCTCACCTGAGAACGGAAACAGATCTAGTTCCTGGAACGTTGTGGTTTCTATTTTCTAGAATACTGGGACGATGAAAAAAATCCAAAAACCCTATAAATCTGCTTGTTATACACCATCGTCAGAACCATTATTCTTTCAAACTTAGGTTTGCAGTCTTGGCTAACATGTCTGCGAAATCAAAATGTGTTTACTGATAGCGTCTAAAATTGCAATTTGAAGATTTATTACTAAGAATGTCAGTGAACCCGCCTTGTTCAATACCTGACAGGCTACGTCTTCAATCTGAAATTAGAATGCTATTTTGACAAAAAGAAGCGGTGTAATTTGCCATATCTGAAAGTTCCTCGATAGTTCTTTTCTTACACTCAGCAAATGAACTGCAATTTATGACAGAAAACTGTCTTTTGGTGATGCAGCAGTTTCATTGGCTTTAAGGTGAGTAGCGTAAGTTTGGACATCTGTATGTCTTCTTTCCATTGAGCTTTGATATACAAACATCAATTTTCATCTTTAAATACTTACATTTTTATGTAAATGAATGATTCTTGAGTTATGTCCTTACACAGAAGCGTTCAGTTAACTTAATTTGCTAAATATAAATTTAAGAGTAATCTAGCTATGGTCGCTGATTTCCCACCGCGGCGGCCCGGATTCGAGCCCGGGTTTGGTCAAGTGGGATTTGTGGTGGATAAAGTGGCGCTGGGGCAGGTTTTCTCCGAGTACTTCGGTTTCCCTTGCCAAACTTCATTCCACTAAATTCTCCATCATCATATTCACCCAGGGCAGGTACAATAGGCCAAAGAGTGACCGACGTGCCGAGTGGAACCAGCTGGACTCCCCCCCCCTCACTAAGCGATTTTTTTTTAAAAAATCTAGCTATGACTTCGCTGAATGACGCCTCAAATTCAACATTTTCATTCTGGTGAAGAGAATTTAAAAATTAGAGATGGTACAGGGAATATTTTTATTAAATTCACGGACACTGAAAGTCAGCACTTGGCTGACAATGTATGTGTTTGCAGTATTTATTACATATCATATGACGGAACCTCGGTCGATCTCTACAGAACTATCTGGCATTCACTAAGATGTTAGCATCTCGGCGAAACATTTTTACCGGATCTGTGGCGTACGTACAGCACAAAAATTACAACCTGCGTATCTCCAGTATATCCTATACCAAAGAAACAATGAGACAGAGTATGGAAAGGGATAAAAACAGCTTAGCCAAACTTCAAATTACGTTGCTCATGGCTTTCAGACTTTCTAGTAATTTAACGAGTATGCCGTTACATTTCCAAGTTCGGATAGTAGAGTTGTCACCTAAGCTCAGGTGAGGTGTGAAAATTCAAGAGATCTCTATTCCCAGAGTTGTGCCTTTAGTTATAAACTTAACATTTTCATATTCATCATATCACCTCGCTTTGTGGGATTTAAACTGACACTGTGAAATAGATCAAATTTGTTGAAATAACGCCCAAAAAATTAAAAAGGAACTATCGTTCTAGTAGGTACAGAATCTGTTGACGATTTCAGTAGGGGATGAAACACATCAAAAGTGTTGTGAAAGCAAAGGTTGAAACAAAATACGCAGTACTTAAATTAATAATTCGTTTTGAAGAAGGCCTAGAGGCCCTCACATTGTTTCGCAGTCTGAAAGCAGACTTATACAGAATTATTTCCAATCAGAACTAAATAAACACTACATTAAAAGGACAAGGGAAATATGTTCTGCACGTTACAGAATGCGACAGACCGCAGGCTTGCTGGAAGTAGTTAAACCGTTCAAGAAGGAAAGATTCGAATCCCACTCGAGACATGGATATCTGCTGCGTTTATTCTGCGTTTGTGTTGTTCTGTGTGTAGGGCAGCGGTCTTGCGATGGGCTGATCCCCAGTCCAAGGAGTACTACCAACTATGTATAGGATTAAAGACTGGAAAAGTAACCAAGGTCCAAAGGGCTGTAGAGCCACAGAGAGAGAGAGAGAGAGAGACAGAAGAAATTTATGCACTTTGTAAATCGGATTCATACTTATATCTGTAACTTTCATTTCATAAAGGACAAGAAATAACACACTAGATATGACTAGAACTTAATAGTTTTGACTTTTTGCCTCCTCAACTGTGACCACAAGTAACGGGCTCCGTTATAAAAACAGGAAAATTTACAGGGCTGCAGGGTCTATAGCCTGCGGTTAATTTCGTATAACACAACATTTTTCGTAATTTCAGATTCTTTCATAATATATACACGTACGAGTATTTTAGGCAAATCTGAGTCTATACAGCGACGGGATATGGTTTGGAGGGCTAGGAGTCATGGTTCGATTTCAGGAAGAAGAAATGTTTCTCCCTCCACAGCTTTATGCCTGCTCTGGGGTCCACCCAGCATCCTCTTTATTGAGAATGGGGGGAGGGGGCTTTTCCCGAGGGTAAATGCTGCCGTGGTATGAAGAGGGCTGTTCACCTCCGCCTATTTCCGAGTTTTATATTGCTTGGATCTGTACCTCAACCCCGAAATACATTTTCATGGAGTGGTAATTGATTAATTCCTCATAAAAATGATTTAACCTTCACATATTTTAACACCAATGAACGCTGAAATTTGGATGTTTGTGCCCTTGTTTGAAACACTGCAGTTCCACCGAAGCCAAGCAATTTATCTGTAGAAGAGGAGATAGGCACTTCTCGACTTTACGATGTAACCGTGTCCTGGGCCCCCTCGACGCCTCAACCTTCATTTCACGAGGTCATTTTGACAAGAACGGCACCTGATATTTTTACCCTGGCTCATAACAACGTTACTGGGGTGAGTTAAAACGAATCATTTGACAATTAAGTGTGCATATAGCTATTCTTTTTATTTATGCTTGAATTTCTGTGAGTATTGAAATGTTTTCCAATAAACAAATTTCAGCCACTCTGCTGATTTAATTCCTATAATCATTTCATACGTTTCCTTCAGTTATATATGATCAGATAGCAATTAATTTCAAGTTCATGCATTCAATATTGTTATAAAAATATTTTCTTCTTGTATTTAATTAACATACTATTATTTCATTGCTAATACGATCTCACCATCTTTATCTTAGACACTGAATCTGGAAATGAGCTCCTACGTTTATGAATCCAGTTTGCTTGTAAATTTGTTACGTAACAGAACTTGACTTGGGCGACATTTACTGCGTTGGATGTGGGTTCTGAGTACGAAGTAAGAGTACGTGCGGTCTCGCCAGCTGGATACAGCGAAACCGCCATGGCCAGCAGAATAACTGTGGGCTACCTCAACGGAACTCCACCGTCATATCCAGGTAAGGGAGGTAACTTACTAGACTTAGCAGTTCAGCTTCATGGAGAACAGCGAATCAGAGATGATATTCGTCATCTAAAACGTAAAGGTTGAACAAATATAATTTAGGGTTGTTTCTAACATCAGGTTCAATTTGCAGACCTTACGGAAATGTAAGAACAGTTTCTATACACAAAGAATAATAAAAAGATCAAAGAATGTGATTGGGGAAAAGCTCTATTTCTGAAATTTAAAAGTTGCTATATATAAAAATCTATTGATTTAAATCAAACGAGGGCGGGAGCCTAATCATAGAGAGAGGTACGCGTGGAAGAATTCTTGGGATGTAAGTGACATATGTTGTGGTGCAACATCGTGCATGAACCGTATCTATTCTCTTGTCGATAATGATAAGTTGTGGAATGTCACAGGTAAATATATTTTTCCACGAAATGCGAACAGACTCGAAATAACGATAATATAAAATTGCGTGACCCTAATGAGTTTTTATGAGCTGTAGCACACATAGCCTTAAGAGATATGTAGAAGCTGTAGTACACATAGGGCTGATGAGATATGTAGGAGCTGTAGCACACATAGGGCTGAAGACATATGTAGGAGCTGTAGCACACATAGGGCTGAAGACATATGTAGGAGGTGTAGAACACACAGGGCTGAAGATATACGTAGGAGGTATAGGACACATAGGGCTGAAGATATACATAGGAGCTGTAGCACACTCAGGGCTGAAGATATATGTATGAAATGTAGCACACACAGGGCTGAAGATGTACAGGTTGTTTCACGACTTTAGGGAAT